CCCCCCCCCCCCCCCCCCCCCGAGCATCCCTCACGGCCTTCCTAACCTCCGGCCAATTCTCCCTCTCTTCAGGTTCCACGAAGCAACATCCACCTCCCTACCCGCAATCTCCCTCCCTTTCTCCATCATCACCGATAATGCGGAACTGTTAGGTCCGGCACTGCCGCCACTACTCACCGTGCGACCTGCTTGTCCTGTGGCTTGAGGGGACGCTCCAGCTCCTGACATCCATCCAAGCGAAGATCTGCTTGTCAAACATATCGAAGTTCTTCCGAAACCGGGAACGGAGCCTGGGACTTTGAGGTTCTGCTCGACCGGCTTGGGATCAACGAAGAAACGACGAAGTGAGAGCGTGCTGTCGGTTTCGTCGAAGACGAGTATATCCTGGTAGTTTGTCGGCCGACGAAGGTGCTACGTCGGGGAAATTGGTTCTAGCACTCGTGAAGGGGACGAACTGATTGAACTTGGGGCCGAGGATGTTGGAGTGGATATTGACGCGGGTGGAAGGAGTTGTTGTGGGACTGAGCCAGGGCAGAATTTAGGAAGGCGAACGACAACGATGGTGGATGCTGCTCATTCGTCGATGATGGGGGTGCTGTGGCACGTAACCGAACGATGGGGGACAAGCTCGTTGATAACGGCTGCTGCACCAAGGTCTGGTCAGTACACACCACACAGAAGTCTGGACGGCGACTTACGAGTTCCTTGCAGTTGACAACCTTACCGCCCGTATGCGAGTACTCATCTGCTTTGCCGCCGTATGGGTTCGTCGCGAAGACGTGGATTGTCCTCTTTCTTGAGCCCATCGCCACACATCTGCCATCGGACGAGATATCGATCCCGTCGATGATCGCATTCGTTCGGCCTCTTCGCAGGTCATACATATGCCATGGTGCACCATCATCCTAGGCAGAAATAATTCATTAATAACGTACCCGGGAACATACCTTCACCGCTTCGTCCTCGCCACCTCCAGCAACTCCCTGAGCACCGCCTCTCTTCAACCTCCTCAGTGCCTTCGACCTTGGCCGAACCGCAAACACCCATCCCACTTGTCCATCCTCCGGTACAACCACAATATTCGCTCCATCTTCTGAGAACTTCAAGCCGGAGACCGCCTGTCTCTTGAGAGCCAGAAACTCTGCCAGTGTCTCCGGCTTAGTCTCGGTATCGTCTTTGCCTCGCAATACCAGTAAGGACTGCAGATCGACGATGGTGACGAATGATCCAGCCGGCTTGTCCGAAGCCGAGGAAGTGCTCATCATCGGTTCCATGCCCCCCTCGCTCTTGCGGTCGCATCCTCGTGCAAACTAACGACCCTACCCCCATCGTCTGCATACGCCCTCTGACTTGCTGCTGGTGCACTCTTCGAAAACCACATCCCGGCTAATCCACCTCCAGCTGCCTGAACTCTTGGGTCCACCGACGTAGGCGTCGTCGGGGATGACGCCCCACCTTCACCCGCCATCTTTGTCCTCGCAGCGGAATACGTACCCCTCCCCGCACTCCACAGCCCACTGAGGACTGTCCCGCCAACCTACAATGCTGTGTTGCCCAATTCAGCCTGGTACATGCCTCAAATTCCACGAACGCCTGCACCGATACTTCCGACGGAACCGGCGGTCGAATCGGTTCGTGTAGAAGTACGTTCGCGAGGTTGCCTGGAGGTGGAGGTTGATGTGGAGGAGTCGGTACGTGGAGGTGGAGAGGCGAAAGCGAGCAGCCGGCCAGAGAGAGCGAATACGGGTTGGGGAACCGTGTCTAGATGATTATGAATCGAGGAAGGAGATGGAGCGGTGGTGGTCTGATGTAATAATACACTGGTATCCTTATGTTGTTGATATTGTTGGTTTGCGTTCGTCGTAGTCCTACCTGGGGTCGTGAATTGATTCGTGTTGTTTGTTATGCGTGGTGTAGTGGAAAGAATGAGTGAAAGTGAAGGGGCCGCGATTAAGTATAACGATGAAGGTGTACAAGACTGAGAGTTGCTGGGTTTGATGTGCTCTATACCGCGTACTAGGTTAACGTCGCCCCCGAAATAAACAAAGATGGCACGTACGATAATGATGAAGCTTGCGTTGGACAAAACCGATACAAGGCCGGGAATGGGCTACCTGCTCACCACCTTGTGGCCCGAAAGCGAATATACAAGAAACTCGGGCTCTTCGCGTGGTCGTTGGGCACTGTTCGACGTCACAACACCAATTAGCTCGCGTTGTGGAAAAGAAGATGGGACGTGAGGAGTTGGACGTACACAACCCCGATCAAAGGCCTCTTCTCTACGAAAGCGTCCTCTACTTCACTCCCAGTTCTACCGGCTGGCGTAGGCAACACGACAGCGAAGCGCACCCTACCCCAGGACGTCCTCGACTGGCTGGAGTTCGACTCGGAGAGATTCAAAACTTCATACACGTGCTCGAGGTTTGTACAATCCCAGATGTGCAGGCTGGTGGTGCAACCTACGAATAGGAGGCGTCTGCGAATTTAATGACCCGACATAATGAGCCAGCCAAGTCAGTCGTGTCGAATGCTACCCCACACTCCAAGTACGCACCTGGCCTTGCCATAGCCCTTCGCAGGAGCGGGTAAGACGTCCTATCTAGACCACAAGATCCTCTCCCCATCCGCAACGCTCTCGTCCCGAAGAACGTGAGCACAGGGGTAGCCTACCCCTCTCCTCATCTCTTCGTGCCCGTCGCCACCCGCACATGCATCGTCCTCGTCCAACCCGAACACTTCGCCGTCTCCATTAGTCCTTCCCATTCCAACATTCCATCCCTGTGACCCAGGATGGCCGTAATGCTGCTGTCGTTGGTTGGTCCCTGCACTCGAAGGCGAAGTTATACTTCCGAATGCTCCTGGCCTCGAAACCCTCGGAGGCGAAGACCGCGGACGGAATGGAGATACCCAAGCCGCTCATGGACGTTGGAAGAGATGGAAGGTTCGAAGGGAGTGAAGGGAGGTTGGTAGGAAGAGAGGGAGGTCTGGTAGGAAGAGACGGGATGGAGAGGACGTAGGTACTATGGATGGCCCAGTAGTTCGACAAGACCCAGTAGTTCGACAACCTCCGTAATCTTTTTCTCCCTCTCCAGTCAGTTCACGCTCGGCTCCCAAAAAATAGTCATACGTTCTTTCATGTACCAAGACCATTACTGTAAAGTTGGATATCCGTACGCCGAATGCTTGTCGGTACAGAAAATGAAAGATGGTCAAAACTGCCACTTCGACAAGCGTGACTCCCTCGAGAAGCGGTACACAGCTAGATCCTAGCACCCAAAAAATCTAGTTATATTTGTGAGACATTAGAGTACATATTATAGTACATCTAGATACTTTGTACCACCCCGATCTGTGTGTTGGTACATAAAGGCGAGGGAGGGGGGAAAGCGTTACAGAGGCGGCAGAGGCAGAATTCAATCTCCGCGCGTGGCTCTGCGCCAAAGAGTGCTGACGGAGCTTGAAGAAGCCGGGTGGCGGAAGGTGACAACGAGTGACGATCAACCAGTTTGAGTGGGGCCTTGGCATGTCTTGGCGTCGAACTCGTTCGACAAAGTCCTCTCCCCGGCATCTCTTTGGCAGAGTGCTCACTCTCTCAAAAAAATTATAGATCACACAGACATAATCAGAACACCTCAAAGTACATATCTCCAAGTTTTTGTAGTCCCAGGTTGCGAGACAAGGAATCGGCCGAGAGCTCAAGATTTTGTCGAACTACTGGGCCATCCATAGTACGAGTAAGCGATTCGAGCCGTGTGTGCCTAACCAGGACCCCTGCGTAAGACAGATGTCGTTAGGAACCAGCAAGGCTTACATAAAATGTTTCTGGCTCGTGATTGGCTCAGAAACTTCTCGAAGCCTCTGCAGCCAATCGCGAGCCAGGATAATTTTATGTAAGCCTTGCTGGTTCCTGACGACATCTGTCTTATGCTAACGGAGGTCCCATCCTGATGCGACGAATTTTGAGCGAAAAATCGCGTTTCGTCCGATCGGTAGTGCGACGAAAACGGCTTTTCGATGCTGATGTTCCATCCCGCTATGCGACGAAAATGTCTCTCGGGGACGCAAAAAATGGGGTAAAAACTTGGCAAACACGGCCAAAAACATGATTTGGGGAAATTTTTTGACGACCAGGGTTTGGGAAGGCCTTATGCGGAGCGATGTTCCATCCGACGTGCGACGGAAATGGCCAAAAATCCGATGTCCCATCCCTGATGCGACGAAAACACCCCCAAAAGCGTGCGACGAAAACGACCGATTTTGGGGATTTTCGGATGGGACCTCTGTCAGCATACGCAGGGGTCCTGAGTCGGAGGGCTGGCGAGGAAATGAGCCATGTTTGAGTTGTGATTTCAGCGGCTTTCAAAACGATAGATAGCCCCCAATATTTTGCTAGTGCGCCAAACACAATATAGACTTGATATAGACGGACCAAACACTCGCTCTTTGGGGTAAAAAATTCCCGCGCAAGGCCGTTTTGATGCTTCCCTTTGACAACGGACAGGGTTGCGAGATACTCTCCCGCAGGATCGGGAGTTGTTTGGTTCATCTATATTGATGTTTGGTGCACTCGCGGAAAGTCGAGGGCTATCTATCGATATGAAAGCCGCTGTTATAGTGCGCGTATTCTGGTTTGGGCGAAAAGAGGCGAAAATAC